TATATATATATATGGAATTAAACGACCCGTAGTTTCGAGGAGTAGCCGTTCTCCTCCAGCCACTGGACTATGACGTCATACTTTGTGTCCATCCAGGCGACGTTGTTCTTGACCTTCTCTTCTGCCTGCTGGACGCTCCTCTGGTTCCCCTCCAAGTTCACCGTCCTCCTCCTCAAAAACGACTGGACCTGAAGAGATGTGATTTGATTCTTGGTTAAAAAAAAACATTAATGTGATTTAATTCCCACAGTTGAAGCTACGGGATTTTGAAATTAAATTATGCATTTATTACTAGGTATAGGTGTCAGAAATGTTTATCCTACGTGATCTAGTTAATACTTGATTGCATTGCTCTATACACAGAATAACGACCTTACCCTTTTCAGTTCCTGTTTCGTATTAAATGCTTGTGTTACCCTTTTCATGACGTCACCTCTCCGACTCTTCTTGCTGTGAAATGAAAGTGAAAAAATCTAGTATGCGAAGGAACCTACAGGTTGGCATTCCTTGTCATTGCCTTTGTCTATGTTTTATATTTATATTTGTTATATTTGCTTTGATAAAATATATACTTTGCTCACACTGTATTTTTGTAATAGAAAAGACTTACTATGTATAAATATTGTTCCAGTTATGTGTGAGGTAGTCCCACAGCATGGAGCGTCCCACGTCATTGTTACTCAAACTTCTTAACACATAAATAACATCTTGCAGTCTTATGCCACTGCTCCTGTTCATAGCCATCTCGAGGTATCTGGAAAAGCATGTAGAAATTAACTATGGAAATATACATATCACATGCGCATCCTCTCCCTCTCCTTTCTGTCTCCATCTCTCTCTCTCTTGCTCCCCTCTCTTTCTTATTTTTTGAACATCCAAACAGTCCCTGACACACAAAACTGTACACCTGGGGTTCGATGCAATAGCCGACGACCACCTGTCCCAAAAATGTTGCGTCTTCCTTTTTCTGTCGCTTCTCTTCGTTGTTTCGAGGAGCAACCGTTCTCGTAACCGTAGAACGTAGTAATGCTGCTCCACGAGACCTTCCCATCCACTTGGCCAAGGACTATATCGCCAGAGATTCAAGGTGGTCCAAAGTGGTCTCCTTCCACGAGAAGAAAGCCAATATCGGTTTCAGTTCAGCAGTTCTGGATTTAGCCGTGGTCTTGGCCCCTTGGCCATTGTGCAATCCACAAGTGCAGCACCATACCCTTGTCTTCCCCGACACTCGCCCTGCCTCTCCCACCCGCCACCCTCTCTCACACACAGGCAAGACGACGTACCTAGATAGGATCCAAGTCTGCTTCGAGCAGGACATAGATCTGAGAAGAAGCTTTTTCTCGGTAGCGACGCTGGAAGTAACGTACTGGTCCCACGCGAAGTCCCACTCGGCCTCCCCGCCCTCGGCGATGGCGCGACAATACACCACAGGTTTAAGGTTTGGCGAAATGATGCTGAAATTTTTATACTGATAAATCTGGATATCATTATATTTCTTTGGATAGAGTATCTAGTCCTTATTAATTTGGTATGACAGAAGGTTTGATAGTAGTAATTATAATGATAATTAAAAAGTAGAATAACCTACTGTTACAACCACTAATGAAGGTAAAATTATCGATAATGATAATCCCGAGATCAATAATGACAACATCACAATCATACTGATCCAAAAAAGTGTATACACTGTCCCGATACGACATACACCGCGCTACACCTACCTCGAATTGTCCGGCTGTGACATCCAGTGCCTGTAGAGAGTGAGCGCTTTGTTGAGGCAGTCCTTGTGGCCCAGTCTGCAAGCCCATTTCACGGCTATTTTCCTCTTTTTTTGCTCCAAGAAAGAGTCCTCGATGTTGTTGTCGAACCCAACGGACTCGTAGAGCGGCAACACCAAATCCAGGAGGTAACGCTGGAAAGAAAAGAATGTTCATATACGCGTATGTATGTGTATACATACATACATACATATATACATACATATATACATATATATATATATATATAGATAGATAGATAGATAGATAGATATAGATATTACATACATATATGTATATATACATTTATATTCTGGTAAATAAATGATCAAACAATTCGGCATATCGGTTGCGGTTTCATCGCAGGCAAGTAAAACTCCGTGTGAGCCTCCGAGCCTCACCTTGAGAGCGCCGAATCCACTTCTGCGTCTGAACATACTCTCTATGTAAACGAATTTCCTGGCGCCTGTAGCCCAAGGCAGATATTCTCCTTCATTTCGCAGATACAGTAAAACGTCCAGGGCGAGCTTGTACCTGAGATGACCTGAATGGAAGGTATCCATTTTTGCTAATCAAAAATTACGAAATCATAAAATGATTTTCATTACTAATTTTGGAACACGCAAATATTTTAACTCATCAAAAATACACGTTCACTCCCTGTACGTTAGTGTATGAAAATATGACGTTCTTGAGTAATACAGACAAGAAAATCATAGTAACTCTTGAATATCCATATATGCATAGAAAACAGCTATAGAATTCCTTAGTAGAAGAAAGAAATACTATTAAAAAGATAAAGATTACTGTACCAGCCCTAGCAAGGTTCATGGCATCATCGACAATCTGCCCTCTGTTGATGGGGCAAATAACCTGGTGGTCCTTCTTCAGCTGTGGATAATAAGATTCCAGTTGTGGTCGTCGTAGTTGACTCGGTAGTAGGCCGCCTGCTGCAGGTTGAAGATGACCCACTGGTCCTTCGGGGAAGAGAAGAGACGGTGACGTGATCCTCAGAGTCCTTCATCCATAAACTGGCTTGAGTCTGGCTGAAGTTGGCCTCGTTCTGGGTCGTGAAGGTCAGAGGCACCCACCACTTGTAATCCGTGGTGCTGGAAGAGTTTGCGCTCCCTTCTAAGAGGAACCGCTCCTGGAAATTAAGGCGGGGTATATATAGGGCCAAATGATATGTTTACTGAATATGTTTCCTCCTTCCATCAAGTCATTAAGTACAAACTCACCTGTGTCAAAGTAGCAGAGGTTCCGTCGGGGCTCCTTGTCACCTTCACGACGGGGTATCCCATCTGCAGCGTCCACGTGTCCATGATCATCTTCACAGTCACCTCCTGGGGCAGAATGCCGTCCTCGTGAGCCGCCAGAGTCAGATGCTTCCACAGGTCGTCTTGCACAGAACTATTGTATGTGCTACATGAAAATGGACATATATTCAGGATCATAATATATAGAGCGAGACTTGAGAATTGCAAAGTAGCACAATATAAATTTCAAACCTTTAAGCTGATTCATTATTACATCCAATTAGTATTACGTGTCATAAGGTACACTTATATTAGCATATTTACAGTGCTTTTAGATAGTTGTTCAATCCCTTCCTAAAGGTCGGCTCTGTGAGGTAGTGGGTCATCATCCGGATGATAGACGCTCCTAGATCATTGTAGAAAGAAAATATAGATAAGCAATGAGATAGACAAAGAAATACCATAAAAAACAAAACAATGAAGAAAAAAATACGACCTTTATTGGATATGTCATCAAAGACTTCGAATATTTCGTCCGGGTTTGAGACGGGAATGTTGATCCTGTGGGAGGACTCCAGCTGTCTAGATGAACACACGATGGACTATTTCAACGACGATTTCTTCCATTGCCTTCCACGTTGGTTCTACCTTTTGAACATAAGCAAAAGAAATTTATATGTATATGGTTTTGCATGTTTTATTCATTATTGTATATTATTGGATTTACTATGAATATCATGACTCAAGTAACTTACATGATCTACACCAAGGTAACTTATATAAGTAGCGAATCCCTCGTTGAGCCACAAGTCGTCCCACCACTTAGGCGTCACCAGATTGCCAAACCACTGGTGAGCCAACTCATGAGATACAATACTTGCAATAACTGCCTTGTCGACTGGGGTTGAAACTTGTGGGTCATACAAGAAGAACTTTCTCTGTTAAATGTGAGAGTAGAATTAATAACAAGAACTCTGTCATAGCTAGAAATAGGGTTGTGCATGCTGTGAGCAATAAGGTTACATCATATTTTATTTATAGAGCGATATACAGCTTTCCAGAGCTCTTCTATACCAGCCAATGCCTTCTCAGCCAATTATACAAGTATGGCTTCTTTTTGTCTTAAACTTCACACAGAACCCTTACATCCTTATTCTCGACCCTTTCTCTGTATACAAATATATCACTGATCCCGGCTCCTGAGTAAAATGGGTTATAATATTTAAAACAATACATGATGGTGTTGTAATACAAGACCTCTGTGCTAATGTCACTGCATTACCTGTAAGTTATTAGACCCCAGTTCTCCATAGCTCCTCCAGAGAAGTCGGTTAATGCAATCATGTCCATCTTCGGGAGGGGATAAGATAGGTTGAAATAATCTTCAAAGAAACACAAGATCTTGGGACCTATCTCATTTGCATATTCTGCTTGATCTATGGTCTCTTGTCGTGCCCACACTGCCAGAGAATTTTTCTGGTTAGAATGTTAAGCACAGTCACCCCTGATCATGCTTTTTGCACATGCTCACGGTCACTAATGAAAACTAATTATGATTCTTTATGATATATCAGTAGAGTGATAAATCTGACAATTATGTTTTTTCACAAGAACATATGCATGAAAGGTATTCGCTGTCTATCTGTCTCGCTCACTCAGAAACACAAATTAACACTGATGAACCTAGCTTCGATAAAATGTCATTACCTCGAAAATCTACACGGTCATTCTCGGTCGAGTTGATATGAACGTAGTCGGACACGACGAAGGCAACCAGGTAAGTGGACATAGGGACACTCTTCTCGTAACGATCCCACATCCATCCCTCCTGTCCTTCACTGTTGGATTACAAATTCAGTTTAATCAAAAGATGCATTGGAAGGTATTAAGACATTTATCTAAAGTATAGAATAACATTTGTATTATCATGAAGTGCTACTCACACAGGCACCGTTTCGGCAATGGGCATGTTGGAGAGGGTCGTCATCCAAGATTCCCTTGCGAGGTGAATTTCAAAGGTTGCCTTCAGTGCGGGCTCGTCGAAGCAAGGGAAGGCCTTGCGGGCGGCGGTGGGCTGGAACTGGGTCGCAGCCGCATTTCTGGACGGAGATTATAGCGATAATATGCAAATAGTCTTTAGTATACTATGAAATGGGTACAGTTACAGACAACAAAGGGATATTCACCTGATGTTACCATCAACATCCTTGTAGGTCGCTCTGTAGAAGCCACGCAGCTTATCATTAAGATAACCAAGGAACTCCATGGACAGGATGTACCTTTTTCCCTTCTGGAGCTCTTTCCTCAAATGGGCAATGTAAAAGTGACGACTATGGTCATACTCGTGTTTCTTGATCCTCAAGCCTCGGGATGTTGCTTGATCTGAAACCTGAAACAGAAAAGAAGAATTTTGAAACTCCTGTGTACTATCCCAGAGCTTGTGGAACGAAGAAACCTGCTTCAGTTGTTAAACATTGTCTTGTTCAAATGAGCTACATCTACGTTATGTATCAATATTACCCAATAGTATATTGAAGCTTATCCCTACCTTTACGGTGTCGTTTTTAGTGATGATATCCGATATGTGGAGAGTGATGTTGGAAGTGGGTTCCAGAACCTCCATCTCCACCTCCATGTAGCCGACGATGCTGAAGTTGCCATTGATGAAGGGTTGAAGTTTGACCACATAATGGAGCGGCTTAATGGATCGAGGTAGTTGTACGTCCAAGTCTACAGGTCCCAATGATCTAGATGCCTCAGTCTGTCAAAAATAGACATAAGCAGATATGGTTTCATTTGCTAAGTGAAAAACGCCAGTGTTCTTAAGAAATAAACATCATTTAAGGAAATATTCCATAATACATGCCCCACGTAGACATACAAAGTTCTTTTGTTTATGTTAGCGCTGTCAGACGTTCCATCTGTCGAGGTAAAATATAAAACCCAATAATACTCTCTGTGTGAAAAAGGGCAGATTTCCTGAATGTCTAAATGAGACCTTTTATCTACCTTACTTCCTAAGATTCAGCAATGAAAGCAATACTGCTATGCTGCCTTGCTTCCTCTACGTTCTCAAGGCGATTACATTCACGACCTAAATAAAGCTTTGAAGTAGGACTAGGCGATATTTTCATTAACTACATGTGGTTGAGGTTTTGTAACCAAAGGGCTGAAATACCTTCCCCGTAAAGTCATATAGAAAACTACTTAATGTCACTAGCATATATATATATATATATATATATATATATATATATATATATATATATATATATATATATATATATATATATATATATATGGATAGATAGATAGATATATTTTTTTCAGTCATTCTCTAAAACAAGAACGTTAGTGTCGATGTTACCTATGGAAACAAAAAATGCGGAATAGCAGACACTATTTCCTAGACAGGTTAAGCTAGCTCTCAGTTTGTTTTTTGACATTTTCAGCTTGGATATCACTTTAAATGCCAATGAATAATTTCAAAGCGTACTGCTAATGTCATAAAAAGTCAGTTTTGTTGACAAAACATCATTCACTCACTATTTACTAGTCACGCTTACATGTACTCTCTCTCTATCATACAGTCCTCATCAAATGTATGTGGATCTTGCTTTCCCACCCCGGATGTCTATGAATATATTGAGAATTTTATTTATGAGAATGCGAGTAGTTTACATTTTAATACTTGACAGTGTTGCCTTTCTTCATCTTTACACTCTGAAGACATCTAGAAAGTGACAGAGCAGGGTTCTTGGGTGTAAAGTGCACTTGGGCACTGAAATGGCATCGTTCCCCTGTATGAGGTTTTCAATAGGATTCAGTCCAGGCAATTTTCCGACAATCCTTTATAAAAATATACCATGTAGTCTTCAAGTCACTAGGTCTCAGATTTTGCTGTGTGGGCTGGAGTATCATCTTGCTGAAAAATGCTGGCCTTGGTAGCTTCATCTAACCATATCACTGAGAGCGTCATCCTCGCTTCAGATAGGATATTTTATGGAAAAGGCAATCCTGCGATCTTTCTGTGCCTTTGATAGAAGAGGTTTCATCCTTGATACAAGTCAGATGTAACTTAACTCTGGCGCATGACATGGTGTGCATGTCTGGGTTGCTCTCCCTCAGAGATCTTACTGTTGTTCGTGGATTTGACCCTAAGGTACACTTTCTGATGTTCAAAGCCCTCGAGAAGTCATCCTTGGGCACCTTGTCCTAGTTTCAATGGTGGGTCTCCAGCCCTCCTCCTTCCCAAAACCGAGCCATATATTTCTTGACTTTGGCCACGTACAATTCATTCATTTCTTTCGTTTACTTTCTTTAGTAATTTTCGTGCGAAAGGTGGTTTCCAGTCTTTCATGCAGTGTCAGGTCGAGCCCATTGCGATCGCCACTTTCACCTTTTCCAGTTTGGAAAAGTTGGATCATTCTTTTCCAGTTTTTACACATTTGACGATAAAAGACTAAATCAGACATGTTTCAAACAAA